TGCAGATGATTCCAGATCAGACTTTTGCACACTGGCCTCAGCCTATATCCATCTATGCCATAGAAACTATGTTCCACTAGAGCTGCCAGTGCAGTGCGGTCAGTATTCTTCCTTCTCATGATGAATGCATACCAAATCTGGAGCCGTATTTTAAATAGATAATCACTAGGTCTTCACAATTTGGTCCAAAAAAAAATCACATTGGGATTAAACTGACAAATATCTGAGTTGTTGTTGGATCTGGGAGCATGACTGGATATCAAAGCTTAAAGGGTTAGTTCACCCAAAAATGAAAATTCTGTCAGTATTTACTCACCCTCACGTTGTTCCAAACCTCTATGTGTTTATTTGTTCTGCTGAACACAAAGGAAGATATTTGGAAGAATGTTTTAATCAAACAGATCTCATTCCCCATTGACTACCATAGTAGGAAAAAATACATACTATGGTAGTCAATGGGGAATGAGATCTGTTTGATTAAAACATTCTTCCAAATATCTTCCTTTGTGTTCAGCAGAACAAATAAACACATAGAGGTTTGGAACAACGTGAGGGTGAGTAAATACTGACAGAATTTTCATTTTTGGGTGAACTAACCCTTTAAAGAAATAAAAAGACACAATGAAACACCAAATCTTAAAAACAGTGTGTGCCAAAATGATTTTGTGAACATCCTATTTTTTTTTTTTACACACACACAATTATGTAATTTTCTTCCCGCACTCAATAGGCCTATGTCATGAAAAAATTGAAGACCGGAAGTACATTTTTTAGTAACTCTTCCGGTTAGCTTTTTACAATGGTGGAGTCCGATAGATATCGCTGGACCAAATCTCTCCGCAACCTCACATATGACAATGTGGTTCGGATGGTAAATTAAAGGGGACATATCATGCAAAATCCACTTTTTTTAGCACTTAAAGGCATTTTGTTGTATATTTGGAGTGTTTATAAGTACAGAAAAGATGAAATTATTCTCTTCAGGTGATTCGTTTATATCTTTATATTCTGTTTTGGTCATATTTTTCAACCTGTTTAGATTTTTCTGTTCTCTATTACGTTTTTTGAACTATCACGTCACAGTATTTGCAGCGGAACTGCCAAATAAAGACATTGACTACCGGTCCAACACTTCGAGCAATCCGCCATTATTATTTCTCGCTCCGATTTTGTAGTCCGAGTTCAATGATGCAGAAGTTACGAGAGGGCAAGTCAAAATGTTCGATTGTTGGATGTACGTTAGTGACCTGAAGCACTTCAAGGATTCCCACTTCAACAACCTCCGCCAGTATAAAGAAGGGTTTGCCGATTGACTTCGTCTGAATGAGAGGTAAATTCCTTCTAACTTTGGAGACAACGAACAGAGCATTTCGATAAGCTGTAAATATCGTTAATAAAAATAAAGTACTTTACTTTCTTAAAACACATGGTGGTCATGGTTTAGCAGTACCTTTGTCTTTCTTTGTTTTTGTATTGAAGTAACGTTACACGTCTGCAGTATTATTGTTCTTGAGTTTCATCAATGGTCATTTAGCTGCGTTGTTTTCTGATGCTTTTCTAAACGTGTCATCATATTGTCAATACAGATTGTTTGTGGTAAGATTAGACTGTAGTCATTTATCTTGTCAGTGTGCTTGTTTTAACAAGAGAAATAGTCGACTTTCACTAATAACATAAAACAGTTAACTCACATACCCATACCAATACATCCATATGAAGAGGTTGTTCTGCAGGTTCGTCGTCGTCTTTATCAACTCGCTCGCTCTGGCTCGAATATGTAAGGCTTGATGGACAAGTCTTCTGTTGTTGACATTTTATTAACGTGTGAATAAAAATGTTCTTTGAAGGTATCGTATATAATCGTATATCTCTAATCAAACTACAATAATGGCCAAACGTGGGGAGTTGAACTGACCGTGAACTCATCGACCTGGACGCATCTCCTTTATATTTAAAGGGGCCGCTTTGAAACGGGTCGCTCAAAGACGTACATCAGAAAAGGGGTAGAAAAGGGGCTTGTGGAGCTATAATAATGAGGAATTCAGACCCAAGCATTGCAGTTGTGTTTTATATAGACCACAACGGTATGATTTATATGTAAAAATGAATGACTTAAAAGCATGATATGTACCCTTTAAAACTCTCAAGTGGGAAAGCGTGAAAGCTGAGGTATGGCTGTCTACGTCCTGATGCAGAGCAACCCGGTACA